CTGATCCCTCTTGGTGAGCACATTGATTCAACTCGCCGCGCTGGCCATGATCTCCGATGCCAGCCATGTCTGGAACGGGGATACCATGCATCATCATGCTTGTCGATGACAATGATCGATTGACCTTCCAGATCTGCAGTCTCCGCAATGGGCTCCATGAACCACGGCATGCATCATACGGATTGTGAGCTGCGTTCGGTCTGGAAGGATTGGGCGGAGCTGGCTGCCTACCAGAAGGGTTCGACCAACCCCATTGACCTCCTCCTCCACCACGAGCACCTGCAGATCTACAGTTCGACATGGCTGCGCGGGTGGATGATCTGATCAGTTCTGGAGCTGCCCAGGCCCACAACAAAAGAGGCCAAGAATGATCAATCTTGAGCCAAAACGGCATAGATTGATCTTCTTGGTAATTGACCTCAGGAAGCGGTGATCACCCCGACTGGATTCTCTTCTTTGAAATTGAAAGTGATCATTTCAAAAAAATAAAAAAGATTAAGAAGTTCAACAACCTCAGTGATAAACAAAACAAGAACGATTGGGGGCACGGAACTTAAGATTGACCCACTTATCCCAACCAAACCAGACCGTAGATAAGTGAACGTAGAGCGTTGCAGTGTAGAGTCAGTGCGCATTGTGGAGTAATTATATTGATGTTGCACTTTGGAAATTTCTACTACAATACACAATCGTGATGAAAATCAAAAAACTTGAAGATCATCATCACCATCACCATCATCAACATCATCATCACCATCGTCGTCATCATCCTCATCCTCATCATCATCACCACCACCATCACCATCATCACCATCATCCTCATCAGCATCAACATCAATATCAATATCAAGATCATCATCAACATCACCATCATCATCATCACCACCATCATCATCATCAGCTGGTAAGGCAAGCAAACACTCATTAGTTTTGCAGGCCCCATCATGTCGAGAAAAGAGGAGAGGTCGGTCTGAAGTGAAATACTTGATCCAGGTGATATTGCGAACGTCTCTAAGGAGAGCTTCAACTGTCAGGTAGCGTGTCCTGTCAACCCAGGTTACGGTCAAGTTCCATGACAACAGTGGGGCGATCATCTCCAAGCATGCATGTGAAGACCTGTTCCCCGCGAAAAGCACCTTGCAAACACCGGTGCTCCCACAAATGGGTTTGGGGTGTGAAGCGTGGAGTTTTCAGCGTGTAGAGCCTGCGGAACGTGAAATTTGTAAAGGTGGAGTGCGCAGGGTGAAATGTAGAGTTGAGAGTGTAGTGTGTAGAGTTGGCAGTGCGGAGTGTAATGTGTGAAGTGTGGAGGGTGGTGTTTTGGAGTCTGGAATCGCGGTGCAGGGTTTCAGTGCAGGGTGTAAAATCCTGAGTGTGCAGCGTGGAGGGTGAACTGTGGGAACTGTGGTGTGTAATGTGCAGGACGCTTAGAGTGTGTGGAATGTGAGGATTGCATGAAACGCATCGAACATCACAGCAGCAAAACGGTCCCAAGTACCGCGCTTGCCGCGCCAAATGCTGCACCTGCCACTTCGCCTGCCGCGTAATTTGCACTTCGACTCTCCTTGGTGCGGCCATGAAAAAACGATCTGCAAAAACATGCAACAAAAAACAATGTCGACATAAAGATTATTAAGTATTGACAGTATTGCACCTGCCTTTGGCCGTCACCTCGAAGCGTCACCAAGCGCCACGCCTGCCATGCAAAATGACATTTCAGGACACGCAAAAGTATCCAAAAGTGACACTCTTTGAGACTTTCCCCATGGCCACGCCCATATATCCCCGTCGCGGATGGCGGCGGATGGCTGCGAACGGCTGCAGGTGGTTGCGGACGGTTGCAGACATTCAAGCAACATCGGGCGAGTAAGGTTCAACACCCGAAAAGGCAAACGAGAACCCTCCGCTGCTTATTCAGGAGCGCGACGCGCGCCAGCTTTAAAATCCACCACAATGATCCAAAGTGAACTCAACTTGTTAACCTCGTCCCTCCCACCATTTTTTTCAGCTTCGTTGCTGGCATTACTTGCCATTCGTTTTCTGGTTCGTTTCGAGTGTGGTTCCGAAAAACAGTTTTCCAGACTCAAGGAGACAAATTCCATATGGTTTCCAGGGGCGCACCATACAGTGACTAAAATGAATCCTACAATGGAGCCTTGGCCTTTGCTGTTAAAGAGCAGTCAAACACGTCAAGACAGCTGCTTACGATCAGGGCATTTACTGTGTACATTTAAAAAATTAAAGAATAATATGTAATATAATACAATATAATAATATCATCTAATAAAGAATAATATAATACAATACAATACAATGAAATATAATATAGTATACAGTAATATATATTAATATGATATGATAAAATATAATACAATAAAATATTTTCCTCTCATACCCTATAAGTACTATAATCTAACCTCCACCCCCCGCGTCCTCCTCTCCTCTCCTCCCCTCCCCCCTCTCTTCCTGTCCTCCCCCCTCTTTCCTCTTATCTCATCACAACATTCATGGAGGATCCTATGCCATATAATGCCTAAATCTACTATGCTAAATAAAACCATATATGACTCTAATAAGTATTTTAAACAAACCCCTAATTTAATACCATATAATGACATATAGTCTGAGTAAGTTTAGAAGTCAAACTTCCGACAATATGGACAGATGAAAAGCATACAGGGCCAGGCAGAGGAGGGAAGATTAGCAGATAGAAGAATCATAAGAGAAGAGTAAGAAGAAGAAGATGCAGATGCGCGAAAAGGTAGGACGTCGTCGAAACCCTGTGTTTTTCGCAATGATTTGGGGCTCCGGAGGGTCGAAGTAGTCTCTCTAAAGCGTCGGGTGCGGGCCAGCCTTGCCATGAAGATGAAAAAATTTGCACGCCGTTGTGGCGCGAAGCACATTTCCAAGTCAAAATGTCCAAAACACACCAGGTTCGGACCACCTTTGGAAGTTGAGATGTCGAAAAAGTGCACGCCGTTGTGGCGCGAAGCACATTTCCAAGTCAAAATGTACAAAACACACCATTCTCGGACCACTTTTGGAAGTTGAGATGTCGAAAAAGTGCACGCCGTTGTGGCGCGAAGCACATTTCCAAGTCAAAAGTGTTAAAAAATGACGGTCTCGGACCACTTTTGGAGGTTCAGATGTCGAAAAAGTGTCGAAAAAGTGCACGCCGTTGTGGCGCGAAGCACATTTCGAAGTCAAAAGTGTAAAACACTGAGGGTTTTGAGCCTTTTTTGACGTGAAGATGTCGAAAAAGTAGACACTGATTAACTTAACTAACTTAACTAACTTCACTAACTTAACTACCCTAACTTCGACGACAACAGCAACAGCAACAGCAACAACAACTACTACTACTTACTACAACTACAACAGACAAAGGTCGATAGATGGAGATAGATAGATAGATAATAGATAGATAGATAGATAGATAGATAGATAGATAGATAGATAGATAGATAGATAGATAGATAGATAGATAGATAGATAGATAGATAGATAGATAGATAGATAGATATGGTCACCGACAGAATTATGGAAAAAATAAAACGTTCAACTTAGACAGGCGGCGCCTGCGTCCGATTTTTCCATAATTGGATTTTTCCCCATAAGGGTTCAAAATATCCCGGAAGTGATCCGAACCTTTTTTTTTCCATAATTCTTGGAGGTGGCCATTATTTCCATAATTGATTTTTCCTGTAAAATCAGGGGGCTAGGGCAGATTGACCGGTTTTTCCATAATTATTTTTTCCAGAATTATTTTTTCCATAATTATTTTTTCCATAATTAATGTTTGGGGCTCCACCTGTTGGACATGTCATGGATCCACAATTCAAACCTCTTTTTTTTGGGGGTTATGGAAATATGTATGCAAATGCAAGTATGTAGTATCAACCCAATTGGTGGCTTGGCAAAAGGATACATCCCGCATATGTATGTACGTACAACAATGAGTTTTGGTGGTGCAATTGTTTTTCCTTAATTCAATATTCCCCCTTAAAATGCATTCAAATTGCGAACATCACATGATATTATGTATATCAATGGAAGACTTAGGGGCATATACCAGATCTTTAGACACATATTTTCTATAATTCAATATTCCCCCTTAAAATGCATTCAATTTGCGAATTGATGGACATACAGTCACCGACAGAATTATGGAAAAAAAAATAATTATGGAAAAAATAATTATGGAAAAAAAAAAGGTTCGTAACTTTTCTATCATAGACAGGCGGCGCCTGTAAATTGAAACGTTTTATTTTTTTCCATAATTCTGTCGGTGACTGTAGATAGATAGTAAGATAGATAGATAGATAGATAGATACATCGATAGATGCATAGATCGATACATGGAGAGCTAGATAGATACATAGAGAGATAGATAGATAGACGGAGAGATAGATAGAGAGATAGATAGATAGATAGATAGGTCGATAGATAGATAGATAGATAGATAGGGTCATCAAATGAAAGAGAGAGAGGGAGAGATAGATAGCTAGATAGAGAGATAGATAGATACATAGAAAATAGATAGGTAGGTAGGTAGGTAGATAGTCAGAGAAAGAGAGAGAAAGAGTGAGAGAGATCAAGCACCTTTCAATCCAGCAGTGGCTTCGCTCTGCCATCCCTGATTCACAACAACCAACCTCTCCTATAGGTTTCTTATTTTTGAAACTTCCGCCACCGCCTTGTGCGGTACTACTGGTATATGTGATTGAAATACAATATAAAATAATATAATATAACATAATGTAATTTAATACAGTATAATATAAAAAATAATATAATATAATATATGTGTGTGTCTATAATATGTGTATGTGCGTATAGAATGCTATAAAAATGGCACATATGCAACAAAACACGCACACTTCAGGCAACAAATCAACAGGAATGGGCAAACGAAATGCAGCTATACCGCAATACCGGCAATACCGGCAATATTGTACATCAACACTTAACCCATCATCTGCCAGATTCGGCCGGGCGACGGTCCAGGTTCCAGCATCACCGTCACCACCGACACGTATAGTGTCCAAGCAAGACAATTGTTCGCAGAAGATCTCCATCTTCAGGTGGGTTCCGTCCTATGGGCGTCTTTATGCGTCTTTGCTATGGGGCATGGGGGATATCATGGGTACATTGGGATACCCGTAAGACAGCTATTTTCATGGGGACCATTAACTATAATATACTATGATAAACTAGGGGGGGCACCTCATCTGGACGAAATCACGGCATGTTGGAAGCAGGGCCCTTATGTCTGACTAGGATATTCACTGGTACAATTACAATCTTCATTTTGCCAACTTCAGCTGGAACACCAAAACAAACACAGTAACTATAGAAGCTGTCAAACTCCCGCGGTTATTAGAAGTCGAAAAAGTGACTGTTCCCATAGAATCTGTTCCAAAAGGAACCTGCAGGCCTGACATGACCAATCTACTTGCGGATCAAGCGGGCTTCGGAAAGTAGGGCATACTCGCGGGCCATGGCCATCAAATAACTGGGGAAATAGAAAATGATGTTCTATGTTCTCAACCACTGAATTTGGATGATTTTACCATTCCAATATTGAGACGAACTTGAATGTTTCTTGATTTTGAAGTCCCACATGCCCACCACCTGCCTTGAACTCTACACCATTGTAGATGTATGCGGAGACATCCACCTGCAACACAACTTCCGGCCAAGCCGGATGATTTCCAGATGTTTCCAGTCTGAGAAGTTCATGGGCAGATTTGACCCTCTGGCTTTGTGCAGTCATATTTGCAGTTGAAAAATCGGTCCGCATAATGGGCCAAGACGCAGAGGGAAAGGTGAAACTTTCTGTGCCACCGGATGCGCCGATGCTAACAGAAAAGGGGCCATCTGCAAGGCGTTGTTGGTAAGTCACGGCCTCAACCTCAGGGCCAGTGAAAGTTGACCAGTGAAAGTTTTCGTTGCCCAATGGTCCTCTCAGAAATCGTCAACAATATTGAAACATGGACAGCTTTGCCTGGATCTTGGATTCTTGAGATTTTCTACCTAAGTTTTCTTATGTTTTCTGTCTTTCCCTTTCATGTCAAACATCCATTGAACATGTCTGATGTTTGCCCGCGTTGAGGCATGTTCAGATTGTATGTTTGTATACATGCATGGATGTATGTATGCGTGCAAACAAGTACGTAGCGATCCTGAAGTAGAGAGAATATCATATGTTCACAGAAACATTTTTGTGAAAACCTTGAAATTTCCATATTCGATCAATGTATTCCAAAATGACATAGATATAATGTATTCCAAAATGATATAGATATGTACGCATACATGATCACGAAAAGTACACATGACTGTATGCATTCACTTGCAACAAACACTTGGCATGAACAAAAATCACATATTATTACATATATTCTTGACATACATTAAGTATTGCCAGTAAATATGCATGTAAGCGAACACCATACACAAACTACATGTTTATCTGTCTATAATATATGCAAAAAGAGTAGCTGTACATATCGCGCGCTGCACTGCTATATTATATGCTTACTCATCTGCCCAAGGGAAAATATCACGATTTCATAAAACCGATTGTAATGCACACTGGCAAACGTGCACAAACTTGGGAAGGAGAACATGAAAGGTAGGTGATCAGGAAGAGGAGGCAAAAAGACGGACAGGAGTTCAAACAGCAACAGTGCAGGTTCGGCCGAAGAGGCTGCTCTGTGTAAAGCCTTCTGTGCGTAACGTCGTCTGTCGGTAGAAGAGGGCCGAGCATGGGCGTCATATCATTTATAGAATGCTGAAAGGGAACCCAAAGGACAAACAAAGATACGTGGATATCCCAGCATCATCCATTAGCAGTCACTATCTGGAAGGGAAACGACAGGAAACGAAAAAGATCCAGGTTCAAGTACCTGTTTGCTTTTTTTCGGAGGCGAGAAAAACTTCTTTGTGTAAAAACTGCTCGGTGCAAAGGTATCTCTGTGTAAAAGCTTCTGCGTGAAAGCATCTGTATGTAAAGCGTCTGTGTGCGTGTAACTCATCTGTGCGTAAATGCTGCGCTGTGCAGAAACATCTTTGTGTAAAGCATCGGTGTGTAAAAGCTTCTGTGTGTAAAAAATTCTTTGCGTGAAAGCCTCTGTGGGTAAAAGCGTCTGTGTGTAAAAGCTTCCCTGTGCACAAACCTCTCTGTGTCAGAGCATGTGCGCTCTGTGTAAAGGCTGCTGTGCGTAATGCCGTCTGTTTGTAGAAGCGTATCTGGGTAAAATGCGTGACCACACGAACATCTCCAAAAAAACATGAAACCAGAAAATCCAAGCTCAAATGCTTGCTGTCGTTACTGTTGTTGATGATGGCGGTGATGCGCGCACGGCCCCAAAGGCGTCAGTTTGGCTGTGTTTAGCCAATTTTTTGGAAGGCTTCGGGACAAACAACACTGTAAATATCGATGTTTTTGGGGCCTCGCAAGCCAAAAATAACGGTATGCGCAAAGTTTTTGAGTTTTTGCCGTTGGTAGCAACAACCACGGTATTTACAGTGTTTTGTGGACAGCACGGGATCCTAAAATGAACAGCAACCTTCTGCATAATCAGGCAACAGGGCTGGCCACCATCCCCTTTACTTCGTACAGTAAAACTCAAGGTAGCCCCACTGGAGCACCTTTCGTGAAGTGACACTCTTGTTGCTGCTGTAAGAACTGCTCGATTGAAAACAATAGGTCTGGTGCATGAAGCGTGTACTTTGAAGGCATTTTGGTCCGCACGCTGAATTTCAGGAAGCTGGCATGGTGCCAACTGCTGTGCACATTGCGCGACTTTGACTTTCATGCCTGTCAATTTTTCTCCCCACCTGTCTTTTCAGGGTCCGCCGATTTATGTCACTGTCCTTATCCTTGTTTCTGCTTCGTCCTCTCCTCTCCTCTCATCCTCTCAATGCTGTTCCTCCCGCAATCTGCACTCTCGCAGTCCCAAGAAGCCAATAGATATAGCAGAATAAAGGTCCGCACGATTCAGCGCGAAAAGAAGTCACCATGCCAGGAGTCACTATGCCAGAAGGTGTGCTAGTACAAGTGTCAGCATTGCATGTAAGCCTGCATCTAAGCAAGCAAATATGCCGTCATATATGTCACACACAAACTTCTCTGTGTATGTGAGTGTGCATGTCAGTCAAGGCGTTTCTGTTGGTATCTCCATCCATCTATCTGCAAAAAGTGTGTATATAAGAAGGTAACCCCAGCCATCAACCTGCAAGTCTGGATGCCTGGTAAAAAATGGGAGCCGTTGACGATTTTTTGGGATTTACCACATGGATTGCTTGACCCAACTTGGGTTCCTGAAGCTCCTGCCGCCTCCACCACGAGTTCACACCAGGACTTTGGTTGACATAGCGCACGGCAAAGGCAGGAATTTCCAAAGGAAGTTTAGAAAACTATAACTTCGTGTAGCGGATTTTCTGAAAAGCCCAGAAGTCTCACAGCAAAGAGATCTCAAAGCAAAGAAGACTCACAGCAAAGGGATCTCACAGCAAAGGGATCTCAAAGCAAAGAAGACTCACAGCAAAGGGATCTCACAGCAAAGAAGTCTCACAGCAAAGCGATCTCAAAGCAAAGAAGACTCAAAGCAAAGGGATCTCACAGCAAAGGGATCTCTCAGTAAAGATTTCTCGCGTCAAAGAAGTCTCACAGCAAAGAAATCTTACAGCAAAGAGATCTCACAGCAAAGAAGTCTCACAGCAAAGAAGTCTCACAGCAAAGAGATCTCACAGCAAAGCTTTCTCACAGCAAAGCGATCTCAAAGCAAAGAAGACTCACAGCAAAGGGATCTCACAGCAAAGCTTTCTCACAGCAAAGCGATCTCAAAGCAAAGAAGACTCACAGCAAAGGGATCTCTCAGTAAAGATTTCTCGCGTCAAAGAAGTCTCACAGCAAAGAAATCACAGCAAAGGATCTCACAGCAAAGTAGAAAGAAGTCTCACAGCAAAGAAATCTTACAGCAAAGAGATCTCACAGCAAAGAAGTCTCACAGCAAAGAGATCTCACAGCAAAGCTTTCTCACAGCAAAGCGATCTCAAAGCAAAGAAGACTCACAGCAAAGGGATCTCACAGCAAAGCTTTCTCACAGCAAAGCGATCTCAAAGCAAAGAAGACTCACAGCAAAGGGATCTCACAGCAAAGGGATCTCTCAGTAAAGATTTCTCGCGTCAAAGAAGTCTCACAGCAAAGAAATCTTACAGCAAAGAGATCTCACAGCAAAGAAGTCTCACAGCAAAGAAGTCTCACAGCAAAGAGATCTCACAGCAAAGCTTTCTCACAGCAAAGCGATCTCAAAGCAAAGAAGACTCACAGCAAAGGGATCTCACAGCAAAGCTTTCTCACAGCAAAGCGATCTCAAAGCAAAGAAGACTCACAGCAAAGGGATCTCTCAGTAAAGATTTCTCGCGTCAAAGAAGTCTCACAGCAAAGAAATCTTACAGCAAAGAGATCTCACAGCAAAGAGATCTCACAGCAAAGAAGTCTCACAGCAAAGGGATCTCACAGCAAAGCTTTCTCACAGCAAAGCGATCTCAAAGCAAAGAAGACTCACAGCAAAGGGATCTCACAGCAAAGGGATCTCTCAGTAAAGATTTCTCGCGTCAAAGAAGTCTCACAGCAAAGAAATCTTACAGCAAAGAGATCTCACAGCAAAGAAGTCTCACAGCAAAGAAGTCTCACAGCAAAGAAGTCTCACAGCAAAGAGATCTCACAGCAAAGCTTTCTCACAGCAAAGCGATCTCAAAGCAAAGAAGACTCACAGCAAAGGGATCTCACAGCAAAGGGATCTCTCAGTAAAGATTTCTCGCGTCAAAGAAGTCTCACAGCAAAGAAATCTTACAGCAAAGAGATCTCACAGCAAAGAAGTCTCACAGCAAAGAAGTCTCACAGCGAAGGGATCTCACAGCAAAGAGATCTCACAGCAAAGAGATCTCACAGCAAAGAAGACTCACAGCAAAGAAGTCTCAGAGCAAAGAAGTCTCACAGAAAAGAAATCTCGAAGCAAAGATACTTCACAGCAAAGAAGACTCACAGCAAAGAGATCTCGCAGCCAAGACGTCTCACAGCAAAGAAGTCTCACAGCAAAGAGTTCTCACAGCAAAGAACTCTCACAACAAAGAAGTCTCACAGCGAAGGGATCTCACAGCAAAGAAATCTTACAGCAAAGAGATCTCACAGCAAAGAAGACTCACAGCAAAGAAGTCTCAGAGCAAAGAAGTCTCACAGAAAAGAAATCTCGAAGCAAAGATACTTCACAGCAAAGAAGACTCACAGCAAAGAGATCTCACAGCAAAGGGATCTCTCAGTAAAGATTTCTCCCAGCAAAGAAGTCTCACAGCAAAGAAATCTTACAGCAAAGAGATCTCACAGCAAAGAAGTCTCACAGCAAAAGAAGTCTCACAGCAAAGAAGTCTCACAGCAAAGAGATCTCATAGCAAAGCTTTCTTACAGCAAAGAAGACTCACAGCAAAGAGATTTCAGAGCAAAGAGATCTCAGAGCAAAGAGATCTCAGAGCAAAGAAGTCTCACAGCAAAGAAATCTTACAGCAAAGAAGAATCACAGCAAAGAAATCTTACAGCAAAGAGATCTCACAGCAAAGAAGTCTCACAACAAAGATACTTCACAGCACAGAAGTCTCACAGCAAAGAAGTCTCACAGCAAAGAAGCCCCACAGCAAAGCAGTCTCACAGCGAAGAGATTGCACAGCAAAGACGTTTCAAAGCAAAGGAGATCTCACAGCAAAGAGACCCCACAGCCCACAGCAAATAATGTGTAGAAGCTTGCTGTGAGTAAAAGCTTCTGTATGTAAAAGCTTGCTGGCTTCTCAGTGGAAAGTCTTCTCCGTGTAAAAGGCTTCTCTGTGTGAAAGCTCGCTGTGTGTAAAAGCTTCTCTGTGGAAAGGCTTCTCTGTGTAAAAACTTGCTGTGTGTAAAAGCTTGCTGTGTGTGAAGGCTTGCTGTGTGTAGAAGCTTCTTTGTGGAAAGGCCTCTCTGTGTAAAGCTTGCTGTATGTAAAAGCTTGCTGTGTGTCAAAGCTTCTCTGTGTAAAATCTTCCCTGGGTAAAAGCTTCACTGTGTAGGGCCGTGTGTGTGAGCTTGCTGTGTGTAAAAGATTCTGTGTGTAAAAGCTTGCTGTGAATAAATGCTCTGTGCAAAAACTTCTGTGTGTAAAAGCTTGCTGTGTGTGTGAAAGCTTCCTGTGTGCAAAAGCTTCTCTGTGAAAAGGCCTCTCCGTGTAAGAATTGGTGTTTGTGAAAGCTTCTGTGTGTAAAAGTTTGCAGTGTGTGAAAGGTTGCTGTGTGTAAAAGCTCGCTATGCGTAAAAACTTGCTGTGTGGAAAAGCGTCTTCGTGCAAGTACAGGCTTGTGTGTGTAAAAGCTCGCTGTGTAAAAGCTTGCTGTGTGTGAAAGGTTGCTTGTTGTTTGTGTAAAGTACTTGTTTGCAAGTCTTGCAGAGTAGTACAAAGCTGTACTTAAAACCACTTTGCGCAAGCTTTGAAAATCTGAGAAAAGCTGAGTTAAGCTGAGATGAGATGAGATGGGATGAGTTGAGACGAGCTGACACGAGAAGAGTGATGAAGAGCTGAGAAGAGTTGAGTTGAGACGAGCTGCGTGGAATGGAGAAGCTGAGAAAAGCTGAAAAGAGAAGAGCTCAGACGAGCTGAAAGAGATGAGAAAAGCCCAGGTGACATGGGAAGAGATGAGAGGTGATTTTTGGACACTGGAAGCACCGGAAAGTTCTGATGATAGCGTTCACAAACCCAATGTGCCCAATGTGTGTATATCATTTGCTGAATTATCCTTCAAGCAACCTTACTTATATATTATTGTAGCTGTGTCTCTTAGTTATTTCTTCAAGTAGTATCCGGGCAAGGCGGAGGCGGAAGTTTCAAAATTGACACGCTCGTAGCCTATAGTATAGAGCAGAACCAAGACTGTGCCTATAGGATGCGCGTAAGCCTTCTGTGCTACGCAGCGACAATCTCTCAATCTCTCAACTGTTCATTCGGGTGCCATCTCTTTTCAAGGTTGGGTCTTTTCTCATTTCGTCTGATCTCATCGCATCGCAGCTTCTCTTGGAACTTGAGAGCAGGCGGAGGCGGACGAAAGGTAGTGTAGTGGGAGAGGAGTGGTGTCAAAATGCTGCGCCCCTAAGATGATACACCAAAAACGTTTTTGCGCAGTCTAAGATGATTTTATCCAGAGCATGACTGCATGACACTGTGTCTTGTGCTGCGTGAAATGATGCACGAAAAGGGGTTTATTTAAAACCCCTTTTTAAGACCCCTTGCAGCAACTGTTATTGAGGCTGAAGCATACCAATTATGCTGGACTACAGGGACATCTCCCTCATGGAAAGTGTGCCTCTAATGTGGGGGCCCGTGACCGCGTCACCCGTGGGAATTGAACCCATGACCATTTTCGGGGGGGGGGGGCCCCCCTTATAATTGATATCCAATACATAACGGCGAGAATTCCATGAATTGCACGGGCTGGCCCCCCAATACCCCCTAAGCTTGTGCTGAAGCACGGAGAACTCAGGTAGCTGACGCTACCTTTCGTGAATTGCTCATTGCATCCCATTGTCACCGCAGACTGTGTCATCCCATCTTATCTCATCACGCTACTTGTTCAAGAACACGACACAACCACGAAAGGCGCGCCTGAACCTACGCCCAATGCGGAGCATCAAATGCATGTGCAAGCTGGTGCGCAGGTTATCCCACCACTTCAACAAACTTTCTCTATTTCTCTGTGCGAGGATCCCATCACGTGCAATGCCGTAATCAGATTGGAGTTACACTCATAATTCATATCATAATCATACCTCCAAAACCACCCAAATATCCCACATATTGCCAAATATCCGACACATGGGACCCAAAAACCTCAGCCAACTGCCCGTTTCCAAACGGACCGGAGGTCCTTCACCGAGGAACAGAGTATGTGGGCTCTTCTTTCAAGAGACCAACGCCTCCCGGTGTTGCTTGAGCCATGTTCCCCAGAATAACCCGCCAGCAAACCATTGTTAATACCCCAAATGACACCTTTCTCGGGGGTCCTGAATTAATGGGAGTAATTTTGGATACATGCTGATGCAGTAGGATCGGATATAAATAGCCAACCTGGTCTTAAAATATTTAACCAACTGTGTGCAAACGGAGTTTCAACCCCATCAAACATGGTGGATTTAAGGTTAGGAAAACTGGTGATATAACCGAACTGTCACCGCATATTTGACAAACACTATGATATGTGGGAGCATCTGAAAGCGGTGGCTATTTTGATGTTTTCACCAGAAGAAAGTAATGGTATAATCTGGATGTAATGGGATATATGGCCAACAACATGATATTTGGGTGCGACAGAAAATGGCAGGTCTTATCTTCAAACATGGTGGATTGAACACTCGGAAATTTTATGATATAATGGGGAGACAATGGGATGTATGTTTCTATGGCCAGCGATATGATGCGAATGTGTCTGAAAACGATGATTTACCAAAGTGGTGGGTTCAAGATGATTCAAGTAGGAAAGTTGTGATATAACGGTCAAACATATAATGATGCCGGTGTGTCCGAAAGTCGGGTATAGATTCGCCAGTGGATCTGGCGGTACCCAAGTTTCAGAGAAACCCGCTGATGGGAAAAAACAATTTTGAAAATCATTTCCCCGGGGAAGCACAGACTTTGGCTGTTTGCAGTGCTCATGTTATGTTTGCTTAAGTTAGTTTGCTGACTGATCCATATTCCTCGGAATGGGTCAGAAATGTGGTTTATCATTGATCATTTCCCTTTTAGTGATACAATGAAATTTTGGGCCTCCAGTTGCTGGACCAACTCATATGAGCAGCTTCAAAAACGGTATTGATGTCCCTCTTCACTCTCAAATCTCTTTCCGCCTACTTTCGCGCCCCTTCTTTCGCGAGGGCATCTGTTTTCTTTCAGCTTTCGCGGAGCTTTCGCATCGACTCGTTTCACTGGTGCTCGCTTTCCCAGTGCTTTCGCGGCAGTTGACTTTCGCAGCTACTTTCACAACCCTTGTGCGGCTTGCGTTTTGACTTTTGCATATGTCCCAAGAATGTTGACAAAAGAGATGGGCCGGAAATAACCACAGGCGATGGCACAAACCATGGTGTCTTGGACATTTTCCACGAAATCCCATGGAGGTGGCCTCTAATGTAATTGCATATATATATAGATGTAATTAGCTAGTTTGTCCCAAACCATTTGAACCACACTGGCAAATCTTGGTGCAAGGGGACCGGCTTCGCAGGCAAGAAGGAAATCATAAGTAAAAGAAAAAAACATAAGTCATGAGCATCTTTGGAAACCCAGCATCAAGAACAAATGCGTCATAGCACGAACTGCATTTGAAAAAAATATGGCTTTGTAAAACTGCGATTCCCGAGACGGGCTCCCAGTTCGAGCAAATGCTGGTTCTGTCAGCAATGTGTCCCAATCTTGGAACCACGGGCTCCCAGTTGGAGGAACTTTTGGTTCCTAAACATTGACACCAATGCATCCCAACCTTGGAACCACGGCTTCCCACTTCTAGGAAGTAGCGGTTGCCAAACGTTGGAACCAATCCTTCCCAATCTTGAAACCACGGGCTCTTAGCTCGAGGAACTGATGGTTCCCACTGTTGGAAGCAATGCTTTCCAATCTTGGAACCACGGGTTCCAATTCGAGGAAGAGATGGTTCGAAACGTTGGAACCAATGCTTTCCAATCTTGGAACCTAGGAACTAGTGGTCCCCAAAGGTTGGAACCATTGCTTCCCAATCTTGGAGCCATGGGTTCCCAGTTCGAGCAACTGCTGGTTCTGGAAAGGGGCCCCTTTGACGCACTGTGAGCAGCAGCCTCAAACACCCACAGCAGCCTGCCAGAGTGCGGTGGCGAGGTCTGGCAAAGGTGCTGCGCAGGGTGCTGTGCAGGTTGCTGTGCAGGCTGCTGTGGCTGCGGTGAGGCTGCTGCTCACAGTGCGGTGGTGAAGTCTAGCCGTGAGGTTGCTGTTGACAGTGCAGTGGCGAAGTATGTCAAAGGTGCTGTGCAGGGTGCTGTGCACGGTGCTGTGCAGGCTGCTGTGACAGCAGCTTGAACAGCACCCTGCAGGACTTCGCCACCGCACTGTGAGCAGCAGCCTCACCGCAGCCACAGCAGCCTGCACAGCACCTTTGGCAGACTTCGCCATCGCACAGCCTTCACAGCACCCTGCACAGCACCTAAAAACCTTATAGGTTCCAGGTATCTGGGGGAAAACCAAGGCACTGCTGGCCGAAACCTGCCCATAGCTCATGCGAAGCCAATAGCCATCGCTTCCAGCTCGGCCATTCTGGGTTGCCTGCGGCACGCATACAGACACAGCTCTGCCTAGCTATCAGCCTCTTTATCGGTCTACCTATCATTCTAAAGTGTTCACCTCCAACCTGTACGTATCTTTCATAATCTTTCGATTCCTCTATGCAACTGTCCATATATCATCATATATCTATATGTCTATATCCCTATCTCTATCTATCTGCCTGCAGTATAATAGGACGATTGTGCCATAGTGACAATGATCCGTTCTTTCTTTCTTTCTTTCTTTCTTTTTTTCTTTCTTTCTTTCTTTCTTTCTTTTCTTTCTTTCTTTCTTTCTTTCTTTCCTTCTTTATTTCTTTATTTCTTTCTTTCTGTGTTTGTTCCTTTCTCCTTGAGATCTGTCTATATATAGTGCTGGTTTACGTCTATCTATGGCACCTATTTATCCATTATCGATCCATCCATCGATCTATCTATCCATGCATCCACCTATCTATCTATCGATCCATCCATCCATCAACCTATCCATCCATCCACCCATCTGTCCATCCCTCCATTCATCCATCTATCTATGGTACCTACCTTTCTTTCTCATCAATCAATCAATCAATCAACCGATCAGGTCATCAGCCAATCAACCAATCATGCCTTGGGAGTCCCATTGCTTGGGAATCTCATTCTTCACAGATTTGTGAGCCATGCAAGTTCCCCGTGTAAAGACAGCAGCCACTCCCTGCCAGAAGGCGCCCACATGAATGACCCTTGTCACCGTTTCAAACTTTCCCTTTCTCATTTACTCCTGGCGTTTTCCGGCCCCATGACTTGAGCCCAGACACAATAACCAGAGGAGCAGCAGACTGCCAGGCGCCGGCAGCGATAGAGGCGGTCGCCCAGTTTGGATTCGACCAATCCATGCTTTCATAATCTGGCATGGCGGACGCAGGGCTCACAAAGGGCGAGTGCTGTCAGCATGATGACATGATATGCCTATCGGAAAAATTGCGTCCAAAAATTGAACGCCGCTCTCGCGCAAGCTTTTGCAACCAAATTCCGAGAAATTTGCAGAAACAATTGGCACAGGTGTTCCGTGCCGTGAGCATTGAGCACAAACAACAATTTTACTCAATTTGGGTGACCGGAAAGTGTAAAGATGGGTGACAGGAGTTCTGGGGGGCGTGCATAATAGGGCAAATGCCTCAGGGGTCAGTCGTTACTCTATGACCCCAGTGGAACAGCCCTTGGCATGATACCGCATCATGTCAAGGATGAGGAGCTGTCGAGATGTTCTGGCAAGCTAGATGCTGCGTTTTCGTCACTTTTCTCCATGTTCCAAGATATTCCAAGGGACCCTCTGTGAGGAGGATGTCTGACATCGTGAGGAACGGAATGCTGGAAGGGGCATCAGTGCATTGGGCCACCTCGAAAGTTTCTTTGAATAGACCGAAGTGCCTGAGTCCAGATGACGAGCCCAGTCAGTTCGCAGAGAAAAAGAATGAAAAGACTTCGGCAGCTTAGAAGACAGGCTGCGGCTACCTCAGTCCTTACCGGACAAATAACATATGATTTCAAAGTATGTTTTTTCGCTAGTAGTGTGCTTGCGAGAAAATTTGGGCATGCCGTGGAAAAACCTCTCCGATGACGCAATCCCTCCCAAGGCGCCTCCTACACTAACATAATTTATCAAAAGAAGCTTAGAAGTCTAAACTCCGTTTTATACGGAAAATATGGTCAAGAGGAACAAATATACAAATAATCACAACGACAAATAATCACAGATTAGAGATGGAGAGAGTAGGGATGTGGAGGGATAGAGATGGAGAGAGTAGGGATGTGGAGAGATTAGGGATGGAGAGAGTAGGGATGTGAGAGAGTAGAGATGTGAAGATAGCAGAAAGGTGGAGAGTAGAGAGGTGGTCAACGCAGTTAATTGCAGATCGCAGTGGAACTGCTGTGTCAAGGTGATGTTTAGGTGTTAGACATCGCACGAAACCTGTGTTTTCTCGCATAAAGTGGTTCCCGGTGTCGATGGGGAAAACCTCGTCTGTGCGACGGGTGCGGCTTCTACTTGGTTTGGCGCTTAAGTGGTCCCCATTGCCAGCGCTGCGCAGAGGTGATCTTTGAAAGATTCAAGCTGTGCCATTGTGTTTGGTGATCCAGGCTTGCAGTTTGCATTGGAATGGCTGAACCGACGCGTCGTCAAGGCGATGTCTGGGTGTTTGAAATTGCCCGACGAAACGCTGTGTTTTCTCGGCGTCGATGGGGGAAACTCGTTTGTGCGACGGGTGCGGCTTCTACTTCGTTTGGCGCTTAAGTGGTCCCCATTGTCAGCGCTGCGCGGAGGTGATCTTTGAATTGAAAGATTCAATGCGCTGTGCCATTGTGTTTGGTGATCCAGGCTTGCAGTTTGCATTGGAATGGCTGAAGCGACGCGTCGTCAAGGTGATGTCTGGGTGTTTGAAATTGCCCGACGAAACGCTGTGTTTTCTCGGCGTCGACGGGGGGAACCTCGTTTGTGCGACGGGTGCGGCTTCTACTTCATTTGGCGCTTAAGTGGTCCCCATTGTCAGCGCTGCGCGGAGGTGATCTTTGAAAGATTCAATGCGCTGTGCCATTGCGTTTGGTGATCCAGGTTTGCAGTTTGAATTGGAATGGCTGCGCCGACACGTCGTCAAGCTGATGTTGTCGTACGAAGTAGTACTGGGAAGTACTTCGTGCAAGCTTTGTAGTACAAAGTAGTACTGGGAAGTACTTTCTGCAAGCTTTGTAGTACGAAGTAGTACTGGGGAGTACTTTGTGCAAGCTTTGGAATACGAAGTAGTACTGGGAAGTACTTTGTGCAAGCTCTGTATTACGAAGTACTACTGCGAAGTACGTTGCGCAAGCTTTGTAGTACGAAGTGGTACAGGGAAGTGCTTTGTGCAAGCTGTGGAATAATTACGCAGTAGTACTGGGAAGTACCTTGCGCAAGCTGAAGTAGTACTGGAAGTATTTTGTGCAAGCTTTGTACTACGAAGTACTACAGGGAAATATTTTGTGCAAGCTTTGAAAAAAGAAGTAGTACTGGGAAGTGCTTTGTGCAAGCTTTGTTGTGCGAAATAGTACTGGGAAGTATTTTGTGCAAGCTTTGTAATGCGAAGTAGTACTGGGAAGTACTTTGTGCAAGCTTTGTAGTACGAAGTAGTACTGGGGAGTACTTTGTGCAAGCTTTGTAGTACGAAGTAGTACTGGGGAGTACTTTGTGCAAGCTCTGTAGTACGAAGTAGTACTGGGAAGTACTTTCTGCAAGCTATCTAGTACGAAGTAGTACTGGGAAGTACCTTGTGCAAGCTTTGCAGTACGAAGTAGTACTTGGAAGTACTTTGTGCAAGCTTTGTAGTACGAAGTAGTACTGGGAAGTACTTTGTGGAAGCTTCGTAATACGAAGTAATGCTGGGAAGTACTTTGTGCAAGCTTTGCAGTAGAAAGTAGTACTGGGAAGTACTGTGTGCAAGCTTTGCAGTACGAAGTAGTACTGGGAAGTTTGTGCACACTTTGTAGTACGAAGTAGTACAGGGAAGTACTTTTTGTGCAAGCTTTGCAGTACGAAGTAGTACTGGGAAGTTTGTGCACACTTTGTAGTACGAAGTAGTACAGGGAAGTACTTTTTGTGCAAGCTTTGTAGTATGAAGTAGTACTGGGAAGTACTTTGTGCAAGCTTTCCCATTACGAAGTAGTACTGGGAAGTACTTTGTGCAAACTTTGTAGTACAAAGTAGTACCAGGAAGTACTGGGAAGTACTTTGTGCAAGCTTTGTAGTACGAAGTAGTACTGGGAAGTATACTTTGTGCAAGCTTTGCAGTACGAAGTAGTACTGGGAAGTACTGCGCGCAAGCTTCGTAATGCAAAGTAGAAGTAGTACCAGGAAGTACTTAGTGCAAGCTTTGTAATTAGTACGATGCAGTACTGGGAAGTAATTTGTGCAAGCTTTGTAGTACGAAGTAGTACTGGGAAGTATACTTTGTGCAAGCTTTGCAGTACGAAGTAGTACTGGGAAGTACTGCGCGCAAGCTTCGTAATACAAAGTAGGAGTAGTACCAGGAAGTACTTAGTGCAAGCTTTGTAATTAGTACGATGCAGTACTGGGAAGTACTTTGTGCAAGCTTTGTAGTACGAAGTAGTACTGGGAAGTATACTTTGTGCAAGCTTTGCAGTACGAAGTAGTACTGGGAAGTACTGCGCGCAAGCTTCGTAATACAAAGTAGAAGTAGTACCAGGAAGTACTTAGTGCAAGCTTTGTAATTAGTACGATGCAGTACTGGGAAGTACTTTGTGCAAGCTTTGTAGTGGGAAGTAGTACTGGGAAATACTTTTGGCAGGTTTTTGGTCAGGAAGGACTTTGTGCAAGTCCTGTAGTCTACAGGATGAATTTTGTACGCAAGGTACGAAAATGTCAAAAGAAAGAGATGTGAGAATGAAAGATGGCCTCAAGAAAAAGGAGATGTCAAGACAGAAGGTGTCAAAGGAAACAAGTTTAACAGAAAGAGGTCTCAAAATAAAAGTGTGAAACAACAGGAAACAAGAAAAACGGTGCCAAGCGAAAACCGTGTCAAGAGAATGAGATGTGGAGAGAAGAAAATGTCAAGAGAAGAAGGTCTCAAAAAAACGAGATGTCCAAAGCTAAGGATGCCAAGAGAAAGAGACGTCAACGGAAAGCGGCTGAAACGACATCGGTTTCAAGAGACAGCAATGACATCAGAAAAAGCTTGTCAGGAGAGAAGAGTGTGTCAAGTCTCTGGCTTCAAAAAATGTCAGGAGCAAGCCGCATCAGACAGATGTCGAGAGCAAGAAATGTCAAGGACAAAGACTTCCAAGAGATCACGCAGTCGACGGCCGTGCCAGCCAGGCAGTCAGGCGTTGTTCCTCTAGGCTCCCCCTTGTCTTTATTATAGGTTCTTCCCTCTCTCGAAACTTCCGGCACCCAGCTTGCCCAGGCTCTAGTTGCAATCATAAAGGGATAGGGGGAAGTCCCCACCAGCAAAATTCTGCCAGAGGAACAAAATCCACAGCCTACTGTACTTCAATTCGTTCGAAAACATCAGGAATGGATCAGAAACGGCGGGACCTGGGGGAACCCCATGCAGATTTTCCGGCGAAGCCACAGGAGATAGTCCAAAGGTTCGCACTTGTCCGCAGCCTCTTTGCATTGGGAATCGCACCAAACGCAGCGTCTACCTGTCACAATGATGGGCTTCTGCGACTTGAAACTGGTTTTGACTGGTAGGTAAGCCTGGTTTTTCATCGTGCACTTATCACGCACGCCACAAAAGTCGTAAAATCGGTGTAATTACTCTTGTCATTTGTTGGATGAACAATTTATTTGAAAACCACCAGCCAGCGGATCTCCCACTCCTCTGGTATCTCCGCACCTCCTTCTGACGTCAGTGTCATGAAACTCAGCGCTGAAGACGTGAAGTCTTGGCCATCCATGCTGGTGAGGCAAGACTGCTTGTCCGAAATGGTGTCGCAACCAGCTGGGACGTTTGAGAGGCATCCTGGGCCGGTACGCTTGGGCGCCACTCCAAAAGAAAAAACTCGAAAATCTAAACATAACAAAATCATGAAAAATCACTTGAAGTCCACTGGATGTCCCTCCGCCATTTGAAAATCATGTCAAATCTATCTGAAACCACTGGCCAGCATCCATAATCCTGCGTATTTTTGGCCTCGGCTAAAGCCCCTGGGAGGAGGCTTCGGGTGTCTAGCCTTCTACAGCCCATGAGGTTTCAGGTATATACCTGGGGAGCCACTAAAAGGCCAGCTTGCCTCAATTTCAGATACCCCCGTTCCTCCATTTTGCGCCGAGTGATGACGACTGATGTGTCTGACGCCGCGAGATGTTGGAAACCACCAGCCCAGAAGTGACGCAATTAAATGTTATTTTTTTGTAAACCTATGTTTTTTCCCCACCTGCCAGGTGAGGGTTGTTAGATTTTATGTCAGTTGCCTCCTCGTCCTCCTCCTCCTTCTCCTCCTCCTTCTCCTCCTCCTCCGCCTCCTCCTGCCTCGTCCTCCTCTCCTCCTCCTCCTCGTCCTCCTCGTCGTCCTCATCGTCCTCGTCGTCCTTGCTCAACTGCGACCCTTGACCCCCGATCACGTGTTCTCTGCCGGACCTCAACCCGCCCACCCCCGCCAGTGTTCCCTGCCGGACCTCACCCGCGGGTATCCCCGCCCAGTGTTCCCTGCCGGACCTCAACCACGACCATCCACGCCCAGTGTTCCCTGCCGGACCTCAACCACGACCATCCAGGCCCAGTGTTCCCTGCCGGACCTCAACCACGACCATCCACGCCCAGTGTTCCCTGCCGGACCTCAACCGCGAGTATCCACGCCAAGTGTTCCCTGCCGGACCTCATGTAGGAAGATAAAATGCCAGATAGATATGCCAGAAGATATTCCAGAAGATATGCCAGATAGAATGCCAGATAGAATGCCAGAAGATATGTCAGAATTTATGCCAGAAGATATGCCAGATAGAATGCCAGAAGATATGCCAGATAGAATGCCAGAAGATTTGCCAGATAGAATGCCAGAAGATATGCCAGAAGATATGCCAGATCATATGCCAGATAGAAGGCCAAATAGAATGTCAGAAGATATGTCAGATAGAATGCCAGAAGATATCCACGATAGAATTCCAGAAGATATGCCAGATAGAATGCCAGAAGATATGCCAGATAGAATGCCAGAAGATTTGCCAGATAGAATGCCAGAAGATATGCCAGAAGATATGCCAGATCATATGCCAGATAGAATGCCAAATAGAATGTCAGAAGATATGTCAGATAGAATGCCAGAAGATTTGCCAGTAAGAAAATGTATAAATGTCATGGTGGGGATCACACGAAGTAAAGTAATTTGTCAAAAACACACTGGTATGATCTGGCATGATCTGGCATGTGCATGCCCGTGCCAGCATCAGGGATCATTTTTCACCCCAACTCACGATCCAAAAATACCGGCCAAAGTAGCCTGATAGACGTCGACTTCGATCGTACTCACGCTTTGGTGCGTGCTGTCTCCACAGTTTACGTCTACTGGGACGCAGGCACAATTATTATCGCGGCCTGGGCTCGTCCGAGGCGGCCCGCTTTGGAACGCCACCCTTGGGAACTCAACACGGGGCCAACAGTTATTGATGTGGGAAACACAATAAACCTTTGTTGGGGATTGTTTATTTTTGGGTTTGCCACATTGCATTGACGTTATTGAAATTCAACATGGTGATGCTCCAGGTCAGATACCTCAACACAATAGAAGGACCGGATAACCCCACAAGTCAACTTCTTCCGATAATGAGCAACAAATGTTGTAGCGGGGACGGGGAAGGAAGGACAGACAAAGGAGGTGTGGAGGATCGAGAAATAAAACAAGTTGTATGTGAAGAGTTGTGCGTGACAAAGTTGCATGTGAAAGATGGCGTGTTACAAAGAAAGGGCCCTTTTGCACGAAGCAAATGAAAGACATCACTGTGCGATGCAATCGGCTCTACAGCAATCTTCACACGCAAGTGTCACACGCGAATGTCAAGCACTGCCAAGTCCCCAATGTCACGAGAAATGCCACCAATCCGCCAGATTGCTTAGCATTAACATGATCTGTCACAGACAATAAGTCTCACATCGTGTCGTGATATCTTCAGCGCTGGGCATGAGCCACGAATGAGCGACCAAACCGCATCAACACTCAACCAAATGTGTGTGAAAGATGATGTCTAGACCGTTTTGAACCGAGTGACTGAATTAATTACTACCTTTTGTTTCTGCTGCGGTGCGTTTGTTTCTGTGACTGAAGTACTACCTTTTGTTTCTGCTGCGGTGTGTTTGTTTCTGTGACTGAATCGTTCGCTTCTTTCCACGTTGGAGCAAAGCGACCACAGAAGAAAGAACCGATCCAAGGTGGTGTGTTTCCGATCTGTCACAGACAATAACTCTCACATCGTGTCGTGATATCTTCAGCGCTGGGCATGAGCCACGAATAAGCGACCAAACCGCATCAACACTCAACCAAATGTGTGTGAAAGATCATGTGTAACAAAGTTATATGTGTGACAAAGTTGGGTGTGACAAACAAATCAACCAAGTACCACACCTGCCACGCAACACACAGGTGGATGTCCCCATGTGCCACGCCTGCCACGCAAAATGAAGGTGGATGTCACCAAGTGCCACACCTGCCACGGGAAACAAAGGTGGATGTCGCCAAGTGCCACGCCTGCCGCGCAAAGTGCCGCGGCGTCACCGGCGACTAACCGCGCCCAAGCGCGCCACCAGATCCAGCCCAGTGCCGCAATGTGCCGCAAGTGCCACACCTGCCACGCAAAACGAAGGTAGATGTCACCAAGTGCCACGCCTGCCACGCGAAGCGAAGGTGGATGACGCCAAGTGCCACGCCTGCGACGCCACGAAAAACGAAGGTAGATGTCACCAAGTGCCACACCTGCCACGCGAAACAAAGGTGGATGTCGCCAAGTGCTACACCTGCCACGCAAAGTTTCACGGCGTCACCGGCGACTAACCGTGCCCAACCGCGCCCAAGCACGCCACCAGATCCAGCCCAGTGCCGCAAGTGCCACGCCTGCCACGCAAGGTGAAGGTGGATGTCACCAAGCGCCACGCCTGCCACGCAAAGTGAAGGTGTATGTCGCGTCGCCAAGTGCCACGCCTGCCATGCAAAGTGGCGCGGCGCCCCGGGCGACCAAAGTGCGCCCAATCGCGCCACCAGAGCCAGCCCAGTGCCATAAGTGCCACGCCTGCCACGCAAAGTGAAGGTGGATGTCGCCAAGTGCCGCGCCTGCCACGCAAAGTGGAACATCAATGTCACCAAGGCCTGCCACGCAAAGTGGCGCGGCGTCCCGGCCGACTGAAGCCCAAGCGCGCCACCAGAGCCAGCCCAGTGCCGCAAGTGCCACGCCTGCCACGCAAAGTGAAGGTGGATGTCACCAAGTGCCACACCTGCCCCGCACATCCCCCGCACATGGAACGTCAATGTCACCAAGTGCCACGCCTGCCACGCAAAATGAAGGTGGATGTCACCAAGTGCCACACCTGCCACGGGAAACAAAGGTGGATGTCGCCAAGTGCCACGCCTGCCGCGCAAAGTGCCGCGGCGTCACCGGCGACTAACCGCGCCCAAGCGCGCCACCAGATCCAGCCCAGTGCCGCAATGTGCCGCAAGTGCCACACCTGCCACGCAAAACGAAGGTAGATGTCACCAAGTGCCACGCCTGCCACGCGAAGCGAAGGTGGATGACGCCAAGTGCCACGCCTGCGACGCCACGAAAAACGAAGGTAGATGTCACCAAGTGCCACACCTGCCACGCGAAACAAAGGTGGATGTCGCCAAGTGCTACACCTGCCACGCAAAGTTTCACGGCGTCACCGGCGACTAACCGTGCCCAACCGCGCCCAAGCACGCCACCAGATCCAGCCCAGTGCCGCAAGTGCCACGCCTGCCACGCAAGGTGAAGGTGGATGTCACCAAGCGCCACGCCTGCCACGCAAAGTGAAGGTGTATGTCGCGTCGCCAAGTGCCACGCCTGCCATGCAAAGTGGCGCGGCGCCCCGGGCGACCAAAGTGCGCCCAATCGCGCCACCAGAGCCAGCCCAGTGCCATAAGTGCCACGCCTGCCACGCAAAGTGAAGGTGTATGTCGCGTCGCCAAGTGCCACGCCTGCCATGCAAAGTGGCGCGGCGCCCCGGGCGACCAAAGTGCGCCCAATCGCGCCACCAGAGCCAGCCCAGTGCCATAAGTGCCACGCCTGCCACGCAAAGTGAAGGTGGATGTCGCCAAGTGCCGCGCCTGCCACGCAAAGTGGAACATCAATGTCACCAAGGCCTGCCACGCAAAGTGGCGCGGCGTCCCGGCCGACTGAAGCCCAAGCGCGCCACCAGAGCCAGCCCAGTGCCGCAAGTGCCACGCCTGCCACGCAAAGTGAAGGTGGATGTCACCAAGTGCCACACCTGCCCCGCACATCCCCCGCACATGGAACGTCAATGTCACCAAGTGCCACGCCTGCCACGCAAAGTGGCGCGGCGCCCCGAGCGACTAAAGCGCGCCCAAGCGCGCCACCAGAACCAGCCCAGCGCCACAAGCGCCACGCCTGCCACGGAAAGTGAAGGTGGATGTCACCAACTGCCACGCCTGCCACGCAAAAGGAACGTCAATGTCACCAAGGGCCACGCCTGCCACGCAAACTGGCGCGGCGCCCCGGGCGACTAAAACACGCCCAAGCGCACCATCAGATCCAGCCCAGTGCTGCAAGTGCCACGCTTGCCACGGAAAACGAAGGTGGATGTCCCCATGTGCCACGCCTGCCACGCAAAAAGTGCCGCGGCGTCACCGGCGACTAAGCGCACCCAAGCGCGCCACCAGCCACCAGATCCAACCCAGTGCCGCAAGTGCCACGCCTGCCACGCAAAACGAAAGTAGATGTCTCCAAGTGCCACGCCTGCCAGGCGAAACAAAGGTGGATGTCGCCAAGTGCCACACCCTGTCACGCAAAGTGCCGCGGCGTCACCGGCGACTAACCGCGCCCAACCGCGCCACCAGATCCAACCCAAGTGCCACACCTGCCACGCAAAACGAAGGTAGATGCGCCAAGTGCCACGCCTGCCACGCGAAACAAAGGTGATCCCCGTTGGGCGTTCAACTTAGGGTGCAGCACCAGGTTTTCATCCCAAACACCTAGTTTAAAAACCTGGAGGGCCAAGGTATGAGCAAAAAAAAGTGAAACGATGAAAAGCCGACCACACCCCTTTTTCTGAAAATGAAAAATCAAGGTACAAAAGATTAAACTTAGTGTCTCTGGGGTATGTTGAAAATTAAAAATAAAAATGGCACACATGATGAAAACAGCAGTGCTCAGCGTGCGTTCAAAAAAAAAACCTTAAACTATAAAATCAAAACTTCCCTAGAGAACGGTCAACCACACCCTTTTCATCCCACCCAGCTTCTGTGTCTGCCAAAGCTTTTCAACTGATGCCTTGTTGGCATGTAAATACTTGGAAACGCTTTTTCCAAGTAGCCTAGGAGATTCAGAAGCGGTCCGTATTTTAATATCTCTCTTTTGAACTTTGCCGGAACAGCTCTCCATGTTACACCACGCATGTGAGCCAACCCATCCTGAACCAACGTCCCAAGACAGACTACAAACTTGAGATCCGAAAATGTTCATCTCACACATCCCTGTTTTCCACCCATGTGTGCCAACCCATCCTGAACCAACGACCCAAGACACACTACAAACTTCAATCCGAAAATTTTCATCTCACACATCCCTATTTTGAACTTTGCCGGAACAAATTACACCTCGCATGTGTGCCAACCCTGAACCAATGTTGCAAAGATACACCACAAAACCTCAGACCCCAAGATTTTCATCTCACACATCTGTTTTGAACTTTGCCGGAGCAGCTCTCCATATTACACCACGCATGTGTGCCAACCCATCCTGAACCAACGTCCCAAGACACACTACAAACTTCAATCCGAAAATGTTCATCTCACACATCCCTGTTTTGAACTTTGCTGGAACAGCTTGCCATGTTACACCACGCATGTGAGCCAACCCATCCTTTACCAACGTCCCAGGATACAACACAAACGACTAATGACTCAATTTTGCAAACCCATCCTCATCCAACCTCCCAAGATACACCTCTCAAAATTTCAATGTTCACCGTATAGGCGGCAAAAAGGTCGAGCCTTGCAAGAAGACACGGTCGAATGAAAACCTGCGCGCAACCTTCAGGCTAAAAATTGTTCTCAGTAAGCTTCAGTGGTTTAAACTACCTGCGCCCAACCTATTGCAAAAATGCTTTCAAGAGGTGTTCCCTCGGATGAAATCCTTTGGCTTCATAGGTTTTTTAAAATCAAAATTCTAAAATATGTAAAAAAGGGACCAAAAGATAAAAAGCTGAGGCCTAACATTCTTGGGGCTAAATTTGGCTAAAATGAGAATGAAGCTCCAGCTCCTGGTTTTCATCCAGGAGCCCCAAACGGGGATAAAGGTTGATGTCGCCAAGTGCCACGCCTGCCTCGCAAAGTGCCGCGGCGTCACCGGCGACTAACCGCGCCCAAGCACGCCCAAGCGCGCCACCAGATCCAACCCAGTGCCGCAAGTGCCACGCCTGCCACGCAAAACGAAGGAAGATGTCGCCAAGTGCCACACCTGCCACGGGAAACAAAGGTGGATGTCGCCAAGTGCCACACCCTGCCGCGCAAAGTGCCGCGGCGTCACCGGCGACTAAGTGCGCCCAAGCGCGCCCAAGCGGGCCAAAGGGCCGTGCCTGCCACGCAAAACGAAGGTAGATGTCGCCGAGTGCCACGCCTGCCACGCAAAGTGCCGCGGCGTCACCGGCAACTAAGCGCGCCCAAGCGCGCCCAAGCGTGCCACCAGATCCAACCCAGTGCCGCAAGTGCCACCAAAGCAACGCAAAGTGGCGCGGCGAGATGGTGTGTGAAAGATGGTGTGTGACAAAGTTGTGTGTGAAAGATGATGGGTGACAAAGTTGTGTGGAAAGATGGTGTGTGAAAGATGGTGGGTGGCAAAGATGGTGTGTGAAAGATGGTGTGTGTGACAAAGTTGTGTGTGAAAGATGGTGGGTGACAAAGTGGTCTGTGAAAGATGGTGTGTGAAAGATGGTGTGTGACAAAGTTGTGTGAAAGATGGTGGGTGACAAAGTGGTGTGTGACAAAGTTGTGTGTGAAAGATGGTGGGTGACAAAGTGGTCTGTGAAAGATGGTGTGTGAAAGATGGTGTGTGACAAAGTTGTGTGAAAGATGGTGGGTGACAAAGTGGTGTGTGACAAAGTTGTGTGTGAAAGATGGTGGGTGACAAAGTGGTCTGTGAAAGATGGTGTGTGACAAAGTTGTGTGAAAGATGGTGGGTGACAAAGTGGTGTGTGACAAAGTTGTGTGTGAAAGATGGTGGGTGACAAAGAAGTGTGTGAAAGATGGTGTGTGACAAAAATGGCGGGCGGAGGCGGGCGAGGCGAAGGCGGGATACAGAATCAAAAACAAGAACCCCACACAAAGATGTGGGGAAAAAGCCATTCCCGCGAGAACTAAGACGTATTTGGGCCATTTCAGGTACAGATTTCTTGGAGCTACCTACCATTTATTCTAAGGCCTATGTAAGGCTAAGTTTTAGGGATATGCATGAGATCGGCATATGCAAACGTGCACATATATAATTATGTATTATGCATATGTAACATAGGTCGATGTCGTATGCGTATACATTTGATTGCAATTATATGCGTTACATATCCACGACCAACACTTGTTTCCACATACACGTGAACAACTATATAGAATCTAGATTGCAATAATTACAGTAGTGATGCGGTACTTGTGTTTTTCTACCCCGAAGTAATGCCGAAGCCCCCGATGGTTTTTTCAGCGGTGGCTATCTTGGTGACCAAGACACGTCCCCAGTTCCAATATTTTTGTGAACAATCGGCACGAGCTAGCAACTCACGCAAGCAGCCGTGATTTCCGTTTTCCTTGGGAAAACAAAGAAGGAAGAGCCATTTTAAGGCTTGGGAGAGCTGCCCTACACGGGAGATGGCAAGGTTCATCCTGAGTGGGCAGACGTCTATGTATTCTGATGGCCTCTGAATTGGAAAAAGGGCATATGCAACACAACTTTTTCAGGAATTCTGCTCAGCTTGGAGACACTGCAGTGATGCTTAGTTGGGGTAAGATATGCATACCGATCAGATTATAAAATTGCGCAAGCACATTGAATAAGTATTTTTGAGCTGACGCTCATCGTCGGCTCCGCCGGACTACTCGGCCCTCTATTTCACCGCAGTGTGGGCTTGAAAGCTATTGAATGAGGACCTGCTTCAGAAATATATTCCTTAGGTTTTTGGAACATATTTGTTGGAAATAGACGGTTTTTTTGGGAGCAAGTGAGTTCCCGAAAGCTCCTGCGAAGGGTTTTCGAAAGCTCCTGCGGAACGTTTTGAGGTCTCCTTTGCCATGGTATCTCACAAGGCTGCTGCGGGGCGTTTTGAAGTCTGCTTTGCCATGGTACCTCCCTAGGCCCCACAAGCTGTTTGTATGGGCTTCGAAACTGCCACGCGGCATTGGGCACGATTTCGCACCTGCTTTGCCATGGTACCTCCCTAGGCCCCACAAGCTGTTTCTATTGGGCTTCGAAACTGCCACGTGGCACGTTTTGGCTTCAAAACTGCCACGTGGCACGTTTTGGCACCCTTTACACGCCTCAAAACCTTAACACGCTCCGCAGCAGCTTTTCAAGGCTTCGCGCCTGCTTTGCGATGGTACCTCCCTAGGCCCGACAAGCTGTTTCTATTGGGCTTGGAAACTGCCCCGTGGCACGTTTTGAGCACCCTTTAAAAGCCTTAAAACCCCAAAACCCTCCGCAGCAGCTTTCGACGGCTTTGCGCCTGTTTCTATTGGGCTTCGAAACTGTCACGTGGCACGTTTTGGGCACGCTTTAAAACCCTCAAAATCCTCAAACGCTCGACAGCAGCTTGCCAAGGCTTCGCGCCTGCTTTGCCATGTTACCTCCCTAGGCCCCACAAGCTGTTTCTATTGGGCTTCGAAACTGCCATGTGGCGCACCCTTTAAAAGCCTCAAAACCCTAAAACGCTCCGCAGCAG